TATGTATATGTCTATCCTTTCATAATAAAATCTTGGAATCAAGAAATGTGAATTCTTCAATTTTAATATTTTTTCCTGGGTAGGTTACTTAAAATTGAGAAAAATGTCATCATTCTGTTTAGAGTACTTGCTGGTATTTTCAGTGGTATGACACAATCTCTTGATCTAGTTTGAAGACTAGATATCTTAGCGATGCTGTGCCAATGGATCATTAACAGGGCATAAAATCCATTGAGGTACATTTGGTACCCTTTCGTATAACAGTTTTCAAGTTTATACTAAGTTTACCATGCTGAGTTTTATGAGTATATTCTTGGAGTTATTCGAGAGAATGTCATTCTTTCCATGCTTTCCCTTTCCTCACTTAGTTTTTATTGTACACAATATCATTTTCATTTCAGACCCCAACCATTCATGGCTGGTAAATAGGATAACAGCTTGGTGCACACAGCGACTGTGCAACTTGACTTCTGGTTGTTGCCGACATTCTTCATCACTGCACAGGAAAATAGGCAGAATTTCTGCCTGAATTTCCTTATTTATGACATAAAGTAATCTGAACACTAAATTTAGCAATCCATGAACTAATGTTTATGGCCTCTGCCTATATATGAACTCCTCTTATCCTGATACACATCCTCACAGGCAGCAGGGGACATGCATGTGAACTGGCATTTTCTACCCAGGAGCACACAGGAGTGCTCTGCCCAGTGAAGGCACAGCACATCCAACAAGGACAAAATCTTTGTCTCCTCAAGATGCAGCAGAAGAGACCCCAGCACCTCTTCTATGGAACTTGGGAGTCTGTGAATAAGAATATAATAGCCACTGTCTTCAATGGTATTGACCGAGGAGGGGACTCTGCTCAGGCTTTCTTCCAGATGAAATTCCAGGGAGTGCAGAAGAGTATTTCTGATCAAACAACCTCCTCTGTTGTGTTACAGATCTTATCATGTTGGAGAAAGTATTTCATAGAAGTAATCATTTACTGAGTGATTTCCTGGATTGGTGTCATTATGTACTACAGTACACTTATGAGTTTAGGGCTTCATTTGCTATTTGTGGCACAAAAAGTTCAGTCCAAGTTCTTGTGTATGTTCAACACATACTCTCCATTTAACTACTTCATCAGCCATTTAAAAAATTGTTATGAGTGAACGTCTTATATGGTGTTTTCCTGTTAGAAAGACACAGATATATTGGGTCAGGGTCTGCCCTAATGACCTTAATTTCTAAAGACACCCTAATTTTGAGTTAGATCACATTCACAAGTACCAGACTTCAGACCTCATCATTGCACTGGAAACAGTCCAATCCAGATGATAGTCTGACCCAGATTAGAGAAGAAGCCTTGAGTTTGGCAAGCCACGTATTTATGTGGAGGACTCAGCCATAGTCTCAAATATGTTTGTGATTTTACTGGGTACACCGTGCAATATCCAGGTTAAGGGACATAAAAGCCTTTCATTTAAGAACAGCTTTATACAATTTATTAAACCCAATAGATTCAATATATTATATTATCATGTAGTTATTATTAAATTATTTTTAAAAATTCATAGTGTTTTAAAACTTTTTGAAACTCTTTGAAGATTTTGCACTTAGAGGCCAACTTTATTTTTACTTTTCAAATGCTAATGAGGTCATGAGGCCAACAGCTTCCACACTGGAAAGTAAATATTTTCTGAAGTTGTACATACTTTAATTTTTAAGTCTATCCTTACAAAAATCAATGTTTCCTTGGATCTTCAACAGATCACCTACTACTAACGTGTCACAGCTTATACTGTAGTATTGATACCTATACAACAAGTGAAGTCCAAGTTCACATTGAGCCTCACTCTTTGCGCTGGTGATTTAGATTCTGACAAACACAACAGGGTATGCACTGAGCTAATACAGCGTTATTCAAAATAATGCATCAGCCCTGAATATTCCACTGAGTTTCAGGGCTGTAAATGTTGCCTGTGTTTTCCTGCTCCTCAAAAATTTGGGTGATGGGAAATATAGGAGTCATTTGCTAACTTTGCTCCTCTGCTTCAGGGTGAGGGAAAAAGAGAAATTTGCCACAAAGACGCATGCTCATCTAAAAGCCTAACTCCTGGAGGAACTCAAAGTTGTAGGAGTACAAATGGATTCTGACAATATACTGAATCATGGAATGAAGACACTTGAAAAAACGAAGCCAAAGGGAACTGGGCGGAATTACACAACTCAGACGAGCGTTGTATTACCGCACTGATGTTGGTCACTAATATGGGTTTCCCAGCTGCAGTGCGATTATCTGTACCCCAATCAGTGGACAGCAGGTGTGGCTCTGAGTTTCAGGGCATGTGACTACTACGCAGAGAACACAGTTATACAGGGCAGTCCTGTGGCTACAACTGTTGACCATAGACCTGTCAGAAGATAACTCTTAATATTCCACTTCAGAAGGCACAGTGCCCAAAATGTTTTGCCTGAGAATGAGCCTTTTCAGACTACTTCAAGAGAACTCTAATATCCTCTAGCGCGATGCATTTAGCAACACCTCCAATGGCATCTACAACAATGTCTTATTGACAAAGACTTAGGAGCAAATCTGCCCAAGAGGTGGTAGCCCCTGGGATGCTACTATCAGTGGAACTGGATTAAATCATGCTGGCTCCAAGTGGAGAAAATGATACACAAGTATAATTTCTGTCTTCTGTTTTTCTCCAAGACACCAGACCTCAGCTGTAGAGCCCGGGGGACAGTGGTGGTAAATTTCTCAAGGGACATGAGCAGGCACTGATGACAGAAGCCAGGGCATCAGAGTGTCCACCTGAGTCAGAAACAATGCAATTCTGAATCACACACACATATTTATTTACCTGGCTGTCACTGCAAGTTTCCTCTTCACTCAGCGTACATCTTGGCATATGCATCTAAGATGTTTCCTTTGATTGTTCTTTCCCTTCTCTTGCAGCTTCCTGCCTTAGTTTATACTTCAGATAGTGAAGCCTGCCTTCACCAAAGGAGCACCAGTGTGCACAAGGATGGAGACGTGGTGATTGGGTTTTTTTTGTCTCTTTATTTCTATGTCTACTTTACTGGTATCTTTGATATAAAGCCTAACAGTGAAATCTATTTTGTTCCGTAAGTGTCTTCTTCATTTATTTGTTTTCTTTCTGGACATAGGATAGATAATGCATACGGATCCATACTGCATCGATATTCTCTACAGTGCCACCTGTTCTGCCCCCCACATGTGCACAACAGTCCTGGCGATAAGTTTGGCCTCTTTTTATACTTGTGAGTGTGGGAAGAGAATATTCTGTTTATTTGTGCTTGTAGCTTCTCATTCTCACTCTTGGAACCTGAGAGGGACCCCACTCTCCACCACATTCCATGGTCCATGCCCTTCCTCCTACCTAGATGCCACTTCAGGGCATTAAGTGATGTTCTTCATCAAAACTGAACTCCTTGGCTTGAATTGAATGCTAAGTGCCTATTGCCAAATGTTCCCTAATACAATGAAAGTCTTTTGGTTTCTCTATTTCTTGAAACTATAACATTCCATATATTCTTACCTATTGTCTTCTGATATTTCTACCCCTTCTGCTTGAAGAAGCTTCTTCCTGTCATCATTCAGTTACTATTTCAAATACACTTGAGGGTGCTGCAGCACTCCTGCCACTGCAAGCTGGGCCCAGAACAAGGAATGAGTCATCTGTGAGACTTTTCCCCAGCAGTGTGATTCTTCCTCAGATGCGTGTATCTTTTCTCTATTTAGATACAAACTTATCAGGTCTCATGCCAAATGTATACTAAAATAGTGAATTTTCCAAAGGGTCAGAGATTTCTAGCAATTGCCTTGTGTTTTGTGAGAAAAAGAGATGTCAATGGAATAGTGATTGATTGAATCTTTTAGAAGATGCTGACCCTCTGTGTTCCAGTGGCACCTGCCCATATGGAGAGTTAAAATTAGATACAGAAAGATCTTCCTTGGTCATAACACAGTGCCGAGCCCTTGTTCTGAAGATTACACACCAGGATGCCTGCTGGACATGCTGATGTGAGCAGAAACTCTGTGAGCCTGGCCAGATGCCAAGGAGCTTCTGTCTCACCTGTCTAGATGATGCAGATGTTTG